AGGCTTGGACTGCAGTCTGAGCTCTGGGACCCTCCCCCTCACAGAGTCCTAGATCCCAGGCTCCAGCCTGACCCCAAATGTCTACACAGCAATTGAACAGCCCTTTAGCCGGAGCCCTGCGAGCCTGAGTCAGTTGGCCTCGGCCAGCTGCAGGTTTTTAATTACAATGTAGACATACCCTAAGTCTAAATGGGGTGGGAGTCAACACTATCGAGACTATATGTTCAGCTTCTTGAAGGGAGACTTTGATAATGCCTTTTATAGGAGGATCTCAAAGCCCTTTATACTACAGGTTTGCCACTCTGCCATTTTTCAGGTTGTTGAAAACTATGGCAAGGTTACAGTTTCATTTGTCCTTTTGCCACCATGTAACTTTTCAAAAGTTGGAGAAGTTTTGATAAATTAAAATTTAATTTAATTTAATTTTTTAAAAAAAGCGTGTGGGAGTGGAGAATGGGGGCCAAAAAAAGTAGACATTATTCATGCTGTCGCATTCAATGTCAAAACGGAAAATTAAGAGAGAGGGGCAAAAACAAAAATTTGAAATTTAAAAAAAAAATCAAAAACTGAATCAAGAGATATGTTTGATTTGAATCAAACTTGAAAATTCTAATCAAACTTTTCCCGTGAAAGATTTCAAATAACAATTTTGAGTTCAAAATATTTCATGAGGGGGGAATGTCTTTTTCAACACACTGTCATATTAGATGATCTCCTTAAGGCTGTGTAGGAAGTCAGTGGTAGAGCGGGAATAGAACTGAGACACCAAGACTCCAAACTTCTTTCTCGACTCACTCCATGACAAAGCTAAGTATCAGATTTTCCCACATTACATCTTCTCAATATTCTTTCCCTAGAAAGATTGGCTCGAAGCAGGACAATAACTGACAAAACTTTCCATTTCTAGAAAGTGGGTCACTCGGGTTGCCAATAGAAAGTGGTCTTCAGTGTGGGTCTAACTTTCGTTTGATTCTATGTAAATTCCAACTACTGGGGCCTACATTTTCCAACGTCATTAGTGATTTGGGGCATCCAACTTTGAAACACCTTCATGAACTCTCATTTTCAGAGGATTTTCTCCCAAGGATTTTTTTTTCCTTTTGACATTACAATGGACATGAGAAATTGAACCTGTCTTCTGACCTCTAGGTGAAGAAAGCCAATCAAGGCCAAGATTCCAGCACATTGTGGGAAGTGTGCATTGCTGTTACCTTGCTGTGTCTCTGATATGTATAAACAGATGGCTTCAATTTCCAGGGCTCTCAGTCCAACATCTTTCACCAAAACCCTTCTTTCATATGAGCTGAGATAGTAATAATACTACTTTGCTCTTATGTAGAACTTTTCATCCGTGGATCTCAAAGCACTTCAGTCTTTAATATATTTAGCCTCACAACACACCTGTGAGGCAAGGAAATCTTATCAGTTCTGTTTTTACAGACGGGGAACTGAGGCACAGAGCAGCTAAGTGACTTGCCCAAGGTCAAACAGACAGTCTGTGGTAGGGTAAGGAGTGGCACCCCATTTCTCAAGTCCTAGGCTAACTGCCTAATCACTGCACCATCCTTCCTCATGCTTTCTGCACTTATGCTTCGGGCTACCAGATCTGTAGAAAACAACACAGGGGCTACCACACATCTAAGAACATAAGAACAGCCATACTAGGTCAGACCAATGGTCCATCTAGCCCAGTGTCCTGTCTTCTGACAGTGGCCAATGCCAGCTGCTTCAGAGTGAATGAAAGACCAGGTAATCATCAAGTGATCCATCCCCTGTCACCCGTTTCCAGCTGCTTATCTGTGCCATAAACTATTTTCTGTCTTACAATAAATATGTAGCATAATTGTACTCAGTACATTTGGGGATACTTTGGAGTGGTCTCTTAAGATGGAAGGTTGCCTAATTAGAATGGCTCCTTGTACAGGTTACACTACACTACTTGCCTAAGTTTTACTTTTAATGAAACACACTAACTTGTGAACCAGAGGAATTCTTAGGCACGGAAAACTCCTGTGCAAACTCAACCAGAAATAATTGGACATGAATAGATCCTTTCCTTTTATAGACCTGTTCCAAATTGCTTGTAAGTTTTCATTTTAACAATGTCTTCTATTTCTATAGTGCCTTTCGTCCCAGAGACGCCAAAGCACTTTACAAATTTAAATAGGCTGCGCTCAGGGATCGCTTCAACAGTCACTGATGTACACTCACCTCTGGGAAGAAACGTGGCAACTGATCGACTGGATCACCCCTATCATTTAGGAGAAGAAGTGAAGAAGAATGTTGTATCCAGTTGAACTTGGAATTTGGAAAGGCAAAACACAATCACCAGACCACAACCTGTATAGCCAGAGGCCGAGATTTTGAAAGCAACATTTAATGGGAATTGAGCATCCCAGTCTCTTATCTAGCTTTCAAAATTTCTTCTAGGTCACGAAATAGTAGATTGATAAAAAGCCACTGAGATATTTTTAAATAAAATTGATTCTTTATTTAATGTTTAAATCCATTCAGGCCAGTTTTTTCAAACTTCCATTCTTAACTCCACTTTAGCCACGTAAGTAAAAGTGACCTGATTCATAGACGTCTGTAGTCCTTACAGCTTGCATTGACTTCATTGGGAGTTGTGGGTTCTCTGAAAAACAGTCTAGGTTTATTCAGGTGAAATCACGTTTGAAAATGTTCTGCTTCCTATGTCGTTCACAAGTCTTGTCAAGGTTGTACAGACGTTCTTATGGAGTACTGTGCATATGCTTCTGGGATGGCAGCTTCAAAGAAGATCAATGGTGGCCTAAATAAATAAATTCAATGGGAGCACGGTTAGGCCAAGACTTAGCACTTTTGAAAATCGTCCTGGAGCAGAGATTCCTGGGATTTGGGGGGAAGAGAGGGGAGAGGCATTAGAGATGTATTGGTGATAGGTTTGCCAGTTCTCTCTAAAATCTGTTATAATTGTGAGAAAAGACAAAACATATGAGTTTAGATATCCTTTCAACGGAGGTGACCAGTGTAATAGATGTGTTTCCAAAATCTGTACTGCGGTAGGGCGACCTGCTTCCCTCCGATTCCCTCAGTAGGAGGAAATTACTTTGAAAAACGTTTCCCCAGTCAATGGTTTATCTGTTCTAGCGGGTTAGAAGGCAGCCTTACAGAAATAAGTGAAATTCACCCCCTTTCTTTTCTGTTAGTGATCCCTGACATTTTGAAAGTAGAGATAACAAATAATTGCAAGGTGAATTACAGGTTGGCCACATTTACAAAATGATTTTTGTTGTTACACACTTGGTGATTTAAGGGGAAGTAATTTCCATGTTGTCTTGGCAACAAAAAGTTGCGTCTTCATGTTCTTGTTACTATATTTTCCTCTCCTCTTCCCCCTCTCACACCTACCTTCCCTCCTACCCCCCAACTGAGCGCCACTGCTCCTATTTGTAGTAAGAGAATTGCTGAGGCAAGGGGCTTGGCCATCTAAGGAGCATAGGACTTGCCATAGCAGATCAGACAATTGGTTCATCAGGTCCAACCATGCTGCCTTTGGCAATGTCCGATAGCTGACGCTTCAGAGGAAGCATGCTCCTTGCCTTAGGCAATTATACGGTGTTTTATATGATGAGGTGAGGGGATGTGGAAATCCTTCTTGAAGCATGAGATTTGATTAGTCTTATCTTAACATGCATAGCTACAATGTTATTAATGGTTATAAAGCTGTCTGTATGTATCTCAAATAACACCTGTGACCATGAATTCTACAGGTTGATTGTACACTATGTAAAAGGAATAATCCCTACCATTCACTCAACATCTACTACCTATTAATTTCGAGAGTAAAGAGGGTTGTGCAACAGCTGTGGGCCAGAACTGCCCTAAATAGTGTATTTATCTGACCCCTCCTCCCAAGCATGGCAGATTTGGATTTTGCAGAAGGAAAGCTTTTATAGAGATATAGAGATATATAAAAGCATTGTTTTTAGCCTGAAATAGTGGTTAGAAAGAGTTGCGAACTCATTCATCTCAACGTTGTGCTGATTCTAACAATGAACTTTAAAGGCCAGGTTTTCAAATAATGTAGTAGTGCAGTTGCACACTTAATTTGTGCCCACAATTGTTTGTGCAAATCAGGTAATCATGTGTGCAACTGGCCAGTGGTTATCAGTTGGAAATTTGCTGTGGATTGTGGGTAGAATATGGACCTAATTTTGTAACCCTGACCCCATAATGAAAATGTAATTCAGCCTCCCTTCCTCTATAGAATGATTTTGAGCATCTTGGAATAGAGCAAAGGGTGCACACACATTCGTCATGGGCTTCACAGGGAACAAGTTTCCTTTAAATAAATAGCTCGGTGTATGGTATTTTCTGTTATAAAAATCGTTTCATGCCAGAACATAACCGTTAGAGGCCTTTCAAATGAACTTGGGTTGGGGGTGAAGAGGGAGGTTATGCCATAATATTGGCAGTGAAAGCCCCCCAATGACTTAGCTTTCTGGTTAAAAAGGGAATGAGCAGGGAGGGAGGGAGTGGGGTGGGGGGCGTAATCTGCTCCAGCTATATGGCCACATAGCTTAATTGTCTGCTGCTTCAATTTTCTTTTGAGACCTGCTAATTGCAACATCTCTCAGTAAGTTACTTACAGCTGTACTGCTGGGTAGAAATGGTGATAAATGCATAAACTGTGTCTTATTGATTCTTGTTGACATTTTACATGCTTCTTTTGCATTCTTAACCTCCACTTGGCAATTGTAACTATGGTACAAGCTTCTGGATAATAAGAGCAAGGGAAGTGAATGAAACGGTTCCTTGACCATTAAAAGCAATATTATCAAAGGCTCCGTATGTTTTCCCCCTAATGTATCTCTAATAGTTTGTTCTCTCCCCCCATTGAAGTCACAAGATAAGAAATGAAAACGCTTAGTGTTATTTCCTATATTAATAATAAGAATAATGTTTTTAAGAGAGATTACTTTGAGACTGATGGTAAATTTGGGCCTCTTTAATTTTAGTGCACAGCATCAATATGGAATCTAGCAGAGGTACTGTAGCTTATTTACCATTCTACTACACATTTTGTCTAGAATGCCTTATAGAAAGATGTTTGTGAAATTATTTTCTTTGACAAAAAATTTTTTCTGGATAACAGTAGTAGCAACATAATGTGTCTAAATAATAAAAACATCATCAGCTGTTCTACTATCTGAGAAATATATCAAGTAGCGCAACACTACTGTAAAATCTGCATAAAGAATTCTAACTTTAAAATTTATAATGCTAATCTATCAGTAAGATGCATAGTGGATTAGTTTCCCTTGGATCAAGGGATTTTATATATTTTTTAAAAAATTACCGCATGATGCAAAAATGCATTGACTTTATTTTCATGACTAGATGTAGTGCTTTTGGGTAATGATCAGGCATTGCTTTCTCTTACTGTTGTTTGATTAAAATGTTAATACAGTCTTGACTTGATAATCTTACCAGGTACATACAGATCAAAAGAGAAAAGATGTTTTATGGCTCCCAAATTGATTTACATAAACCAAGCAATCTGTTGCCTGCTGGATTGCAAAATGGTTTATTTTGCCCATTGGCCACAGGGGCAACAATATTGTATTTTTGGTGCCAGAACATAGCTTTCATGCATTAGCTCTAAAATGACAATATGCTTCAGCCTCTCTGTGTTTAGATTTGCTTCATTTGGAAATCTTTTAAGTAGTAATAATAATAATGTTTTGAGGAAATTGAGTGGAACACTAAATTATTCTCTGAAACCTAAGTTCAAACTGTGCAAGGCTAAGGGAGCTGAAAATCAATGCACTGTTAAAGTCATTAGAGATCACAAGTGAAATAAGTCTGTGTTGCTTTAGCTAAGCTTTTAGTGTGCCATGGTATTATTACAAAATCAGCCTGAATCTGCATTAATTTCACAGTCTTTTTCTTTAAGATGCCCAAGGGTGCATGAAGAAGAATAAAATGTAAATTTCAAAAGGCCGTGTTTTTATTAGTTAAAAGGGCAGTGAGCCGTGCAGTACTAAACTTGACCTACACCATGCCCAGTATTGGTATGAGTAGCAATAAAGGGGAGGCTGGCAGGGGGAAACAGCTCCGGCACTGAGCTATTCTTTTTTCTATGATTTAAAAGGGGAAAAGTGGTTTTCAATTATTCACACACACACACACACACACACACACACACACACACACACACACACACACACACACACA